GATTTTCTGGTGGGTTTTTTTATTTCACAGAGGTGTTACTATAGACCAGAAACAACAGCAGATATTAGGAATATGGTTTATTTCTAATTTTTAAGACTTTTAGAAAAGCGGGGCAGCGTGAATGGTGAAGACCAGGGAAATTTTGGGGAAATCCAGACTTCTTTGGAAGACAATGAGATTCAGGCATTGCCCATGGCATAACTGGTGATAACATTAGCGTTATAACATTATAGTGTCATCATATAATAGACTGAGGAGGGACTGACAAATTATCTTCCCTTGTCGCAGCTACTGGCCCCACATGCGGGACAGCACTGGGGGAAGAAGGGGCACAGAGTGAGGGCAACAGCTGCTATGCAGTAGGGTCCATATACCTGACAGAACACCTCAGAACCCAGAAAATGAGCAAAAGTGGATAGCGGGGCACAACCTTGTGCTAGGGGAGATTTTTGGCTCAGATTTATGTCTTATTCTGTCCCCGGGAGGGCCAGAGCTGCCACCCCAACTCGGTTCCTCACACAACTCACCCTTTTTCTGCCAGGAGGTCATATCGTGGTTTTCCAGCAGAGGGGGAGATAGGATCACTTGTTCCACCACTGAGCTGCTCATTCGGTCTTGCATTACTGGCATTAACGAGAAATTTAAGAAAATGCAGTATTACTGATCTCTGCATTCAAAAAGCTAACACTTTCTTTCGCTGGCCAGGACGGAGCACTGTTTAGGAGGAGCCAATGGAGGTACCCATGCGGCTCCTTCCGAAGTTTTAAGATCAACCACGTCCAAGCTCCACAGCAGTCAAGAAAATTTATGTACAAGCCTTGCAGTGTTTCAGGTTTCTTATCTGTCCAAGCTACAAGGTTGTCTCTGCAGTACAGCCCTGATCCCACAAACAAAGACATATTTCTTTTTTTAGTGTATTCAAAGCTAAATGTTTGCTCTGGTAGAAGACGCATGTTCAGACCAGTTCACTGACACCAAATGAGCACTGGCATGTCCAGTGGTCAACTTTGGCTCCTTAGGTGGCCCTTTTCCACACCTTTCTGCAGCCACCGGGTTCAGTAGCTGGGACATGTGCCCTATGAGCATAAATGTCAGAGAGCTTTGTTGATCCTTACAATGCCCCCTCTCGCCACAAGTGCTAAGTGGCCGGAGAATTGAAGCTGGGGCTGAACTGAGCTGAACCTCAGTAAATGAGATGCTCAACTGGTGCAGAATTGGTCTGTGGGACCAACATGGTGCCAGTGACCACTCCTGCCAGCACCTGCAGGCAGTGTTTGCTGTCACCCCACTGACATGGATGATGATCCATGGATGATGACCCATGGATGATGAATCAAAGCCTGCAGCACCCTTTCCCTGCCCTGCAGTAATGCAATGCACATGGTCACAAGGCCTTCAAGACTGCAGAAACATCAAGTGGCGAGCATCTGCTCAGCAGTGTGGGTTATTGCAAACTCCTGATGTCTGTCGTATGCCTTTTAATGCTTCTACTCACGTCTTCTCTTTGCTATACAACATAAGGCCAAATTCTTCCAAATGAAAACCCTTCTCTTGAAGGTATCTGTGCTGGGATTTCTGTTTTGACATTCAGAGGTGAAGACCTTGGTAACCAGCTTTGCGTCCTTGGCAAAACAGAAGTTATTTACCAAGCTCCTATGCAGAGGAAGCTCTCCAGCACTTGCAGAGGGGATGAGCTGAGAAAGCCCATGCGTGCCGTGAAAGCACATACGAAACAGAGAACTTTCCAAGGGCAGAGCTCCAATTGCTCGGCACAATTTCTTCATCTCGCCACATCTAACGTCTCTATAACCTCTGTACATTGCAACAATCTCTATATTTTGTAAAAAAAACCCTAACCCGACCCCTGAATGAAAGGCTGTCTGCTCTGCACTTTTCCCTGGGGAACCATGAGAGCAAACAGCACATGGCAGGTGTCAGTCACGTCGCTTAATGCATGGCAGTGAGAAGCTTGGCTACAACTTTGGGGGTATGGTGCATTGAACGGAATAAAAAAGAACAGGACACCGCCTTTAGATGTTCATGGGCTTCAAGTCAGGAACAAAATTCAGATTTACAGTATTGCATGAATAACGTACTACAAAAATATTATAAATAGAATATTGGCATTAAAAGGATGGTTCTTTTAAGTAACTGTACCGCCTGCAGCAAAACCCATATGATTATACTAAAAATATAAATTCTACATATAAAGAAAGTACAAATGCAAATTGCTGGACAACAACAACATTATGTTAGCTCTTGTAATATAAGTTCACCCTGGAGCTAGGCTGTTGTAGACAGCCAAATATGCTGTTCAGGTGCTATTTAAAAGATCAATGCATACTGCAGGCAGAAATTAACTCCTGTTGTTGGGGCAAAGAGACGGGAGAATGGAAGTGCAGACTTTTTGAAGTGGAACAAAATGCTGTATTGCTATCAGCAAGGAAAAGTGGGTGCCCACATTTGTTTACACTGAGTTAATCTGCTCCTTATAGATACATAAGCGTTGTAAATGAGGATTTATACAGCTTGTAGCTAGAGGTTGGCAGTGAGGAGTTCTTCAGTGTCAGGAAAAAGGGCTTTGTGATGGGAATAATCCTGAAGAGACGATGCAAACTCCAGCCCAGGCTCTGCTGCTCACCCCAGCCTGTATTTCCATGCTCCTGAAGAGACCCAAGACCTCGGTTCACGGTTCGTCCTCCTGAAGGTGACAGTGTTGCTACCAACAGCACGGCTCACATTGCACTCAGAGGTTCAGAGAGTTAATTCAGGTTTAGAGGCAAGGATCCAACACACATTTTAGACAAGTTCAATCCATAACGTTATAAATGGAACCATAACTTTTATATATATCACTTTTGGAACATAACACCTTTGAGAAAGGTTCTTTAATTTCACCTCTAACGCGGTGTGCCTCGCTTGCCGCTTAAATCTCTCTCGCACGCCTCCCCCCCTCGAACGACCTCACCTATCAGTGCGAAATTGTTGTTGTGCCTGATTGCACAAACCTGCCCAGCCTTTTACCTGGGAGACGTGCCGCAAATAACTTTCATTATATAGATGGTGTGTTTCTGATGCTGCTATCAGAGAAGAAAAGATATATAATGCTTCGGCGGGCTCGCTTGGATGCTGAGGAGGCACTTGACTGCGCAAAGCAGCCATTTATTTCAAAGGATGGCAGAAGTCTGGAAGATTTGGAAGAGGAGAGATTTGGCAGTCGGCCGGGGAAGGTCTCGCCATGGGGACAGTGGGGTCCATCCCCACCAGACCTCTATGAGCATTGCTAAGGTCTTTTTATGTCATTCGGTCTCAACAGCAACATGCAGAGAGGCTGCAATGTGTCACGGGGAGGTAACGACAGGGATCGCCTTAGGCCAGTTTCAATCCCCTGCTTTTCTCTCAGGCAAAAGCAATTTAGGCTTAATAGTACATAAAGGAAATTATTAAAAACCTTATTTGAGTCGTTCTTGGGCAGGTGAAGAAAGGAGAAGGCCTTTCTGAACTCTTCTGGAGTGGGTTAGTGGGTAAGGGGTTACATGAATGTCCTCTCAAATGTCACAGAAATGCAGTTTCCGTTCTGTTTCACTACGGAGTTTACCCATGTGCTACATTTCTCTGTGTTTGGTAAAGACAAGCCCCAGGGTCATTTGGGACTTTAAATATATTAAAATAACACAGTAAGGGGTCCTTTTATTTTGATAATTTGCAATACCTACTATTAAAAATTAGCTTTGCAATTAATTTGGGAAATACACAAAGTGACACCTACTTCAGTCATTTGTGGACAGAGGACAACTCACTGTCTCCTTAATAGCTGTAATAGTCCAAGACCAGATTTTCCTACAGTAATGACACTTTCTCTTGAATTTATTGAGGTTCAACCTCCCAGTTGTCTGCTGGGAACACTTCATTTATGCATGAAGCATCTTACCCCACTTCTGCAGAAGAAATGTAGGCAGATGCAGATCCTCGTTTGAACAGAAAAGATCCATAGATGCCTTTTTTTTGGTACTTAGTTACTTGTAATGGAGTTATACAGGAGCCCTCAGGGGAGTTTTGTGGACTATGTGCAAGCTTGAGGAAATAGGTATGGGGCAACTTTGGCTATAGCATGACCAAGCGCCTTTCCAATGACCACTTTTTCTTGCTTCCAACACATGAAAATGAAATATTCTCATCTTGTGACTATTATCTTAATAACAAATAACCCACTGTGTTCTTGCTTTGGGTGGAATTGCTTCCTTATTTTCATGCACATCCACTGCATCTCTGTTAAGATCCCAACCAGTGAAAAGCATTAGAGCCACCACCAACAGATGGGTTGGCACAGCACATGGGGCAGGGTACAAATTCAGATTTAGGGAGTATCACCTTCCTCATCGCCAATCACTTTAGAAAACAAGTGTTTGGATTCTGTAGTGACTGTGTGGGGCCACCCAAAAGCCAGGTGATAACTCACATCATCTTTGGAGATGGGACACTGCCTTAAGGGGGATGGCAATGGGAAGAAGCTGAACTGCAATTTCCTTGATGTATCTGGAAAGTACATGTACCTCATAACTCAGTTTTATAATGATCTTTAATTTGCTGTACCGGGAAGCTTTTCCCTGGTCAGCAACCAGATGCACCAAAATTACAGTTAAGTCACTGTGGGAAATAAAATGAGTTTTCTTCTCCTTCCAATTAAAAGGAGGGTGCGGGCTGGACAACAAACACGCTGCTGCACTAGGACTTGGTTGACTTTAATGCGAAAACAGTTGCACAGTTTAATATATTCCCTTGCCAGAAAACTGGGAATTTGTTTCCAAAAGGGCAAAGGCCTCCGGGATGTGTCCTGATTCTCCGTGATTTCATCTGTGCCATCATCAATGATTTACCGCAGCGTTTTGGACTCCGGTGGGCTCTGAAGTTCTTCCAGCAGTGTTTGCCCCATGGCATCTTGAAGCCCAAAGCTTTTGTTTGGAGCTAACCTATAGGAAACATTTACATATGGAAAAACAATGCGGTGGAGCCCGTGTCAGCTTTTTCCTCTGGTTCTCTCCATATGCTCGCTGTCTTTAATTTTACATAAGGCCACGGCTACAGCACGCCTGGAGCTGGAGGCATGGCCTCCCCAGAGGTAAGTCTGTTCCCTCCCCAACTTTACATATAGAAATCATGGGCGAGACGGTCAGCCCATCAATTTTTGTCCTGACTTGAGGCATGTGCACACTGTGCTCTCTGCAAACAGCTACCAGGAAAAAAAGGGTTTTTTTTTAAATATTGGCACTTGTCCAAAGCCCAAGCTAGACACCATAATTCCTTCTTATATGAACTGTTTGCACAATGGCTTTTCTTTTGCAGATGACTATTAAGCCTTCTTAAACTTCCTTACCAATATTGCTATACTGGTTTTGGGCACTTGGACTGAATTCCGTATACAGGATGATTTACGAGTGAATATTTTGCATATTCCTTTTCATTTGGCAATGTGAAGTTAACCAAGTGCATGCAAATAACCTGATTTTCAAACCAAGCCAGATCCTCATACCTCAGTTATTTTCCTCTGAACAGTATTGTTAACCTACCCGAGTGTCATTTAGGCTTTGAAGGAAGGAAATAAACAAGTTACCTTTTTCTAAAGCTATAGTGTCATGATAGGAAAATGGTTGGATTTTTTTTTTCTACAGCTATTAATTTCAGGCTTGTTCTAAAGGCAAATATGATTTAGAAGGATCAAAAAAGGTATCAGTGATAATTGGAACGTGGAGACAAGGAGAAGGTGGAAAGGAAGAAAAAAAAAGTGGCAGTGATACACTTAATTATGAAGGCTTATTCCGATAATCCCTTTTGAAAATGAGCAAAGACGAGATTTTTGATGTTTGATGAACTTATCAAACAAGGCAGAATAATGAAGAGGTAAATGTAAAATCCAATCGAAGGTGAGCCAATTAAGTACTTTGTGAAGTGCTGAAGGATACAGCCCACAAATCCTCCTGTCAGAACGAAAAGGCATCAATACCTGCGTGTCCTCCAGCTCCATGTTTGTCTGCAGGCTCCTGTTGTTTTCCTGGAGAGACGCTGGGTTTTTTTATCTCACACACTGATCTGCATCCACAGGCTCCCTTGCTGAGCTGTTGTGGCTTTCATTTAGTAAATCTCTCTTCTACAGCCTCTGATGAATCCCCAATGTGCTCCATACCTCTGCTAATTATCAATATTTCTCTTTGGACCGCAGTCTCATAAGTAAAACAGTCTGCTCATTAGTTAATCACCAAAATAACAGCACTACTAATGTTTTGGCTCAGAATAACCCCTCAAAATGCATTGAAGGCTGTGGCAAAAGCAGAATTGTATTAGCACGCCACAGATTGCTCCTCAAGACAAAGAAATGCATTCTAGAAATAAAGATTGTGGGAGGAGGGACAGAAATAGAAATCATAACGACTGGGCTGGGAAGCAAGAGAAGTCTCTTCCTGCTGCTGTATAGTGCAGAGTCTGACCCACGGGCCATCACGATACAGTGCCCTTGCCATTTTCTGCTTTTATACTCTTCCTTTAGCTCACAACGGTGTAAAAAAAAATGAAACCAATAGATTTCAGAACAGAGCCAAGGTGTTCATGATGTGCTTCTGAGAAGAAAGCCAAAAAAAGCAGCCTTTCCTTAAAAACCTGTCTCTTCTCCACATTCCTTACTCAGTGTGTTTGGTCTTGTATATATGATTTACATATATTTTATTGCAATCTACCTATTGGAAGGGGCTAGGATCTCTTGGGAGAGCGGGAACCCTAAGACAAAATCCTCAGGTCCTGCACCTGCTGCCCCTGACCAATTCTGATGGCTTGGATGGAGCAGCTTGGGTAGTATGGCAACCCCTGCCGAGGGTCTGTCCCAGGTGGTGCCATCGTCCCTTTTTCTACAAAATAGGATCCTGGTGGAAAAAAATCTCCCTTATAACACAACTTCAAAGACCTTAGACCAGTATCTCTTCCCCTCCTTAGAAGAAGCAGCAGAGATGTTAATTCTCCAGCTCCTGTTGACTGTCAGCTGAGCCAGTGGTCAGAGTGGACTGATTGCTTTCCTTGCCAAGAGAAAAAAGTAAGCCTCTACTGTAATGTATTCATTTATCTTCAGATGTGTCTGTGATGAGGATGTACACACATTAATTATATATATTATACATATTCATCATTCTGAAGCATCCAGTAAACTCATCCAAATATGATGGAGATGCTCCTCTGCTAGAGAAGCTCGCTCTTACCCTGGTGTAAACTGGGGATTAAATTCGTTTAAGGCAGCAGAACAGCAAAAGGCAAAATCAAGGTAAATGGTGGAAGAATCAGGCCAGAATATTTGCCCAAGACTTTCTTCTTTTTCTGTCTCAGATTTAATTAAGTATCCCCTGATTCTTATTGCAAATATCCCAATGAAAAGAAATTAAAAGCAGCCTTCATTTATCAGCTCCTGTTCTCAGTTTTTTATATCATTTCACATATGTCTTCATAATTCAAACATTTATTTTCAAATACCTGACATAATTTTGCTTTCTACTGAGTTTATATCCCTGCATTTTTTTGTTCCTATGCTTATAATCAGTAAATGTTTTGGCTCTTCTCTCTTTCCATTTCTCTTTTCTTCCTAGTTTAAAGAGCACCAATCCTCATTAATAATCCATCAGAAATGTTGCAGGATCAGTGTTGTAATTAGTGTCTGTCCATCTGAGCCTGTTACATTCCAGGACACAAAATATAACTGGAAAAAAAATCCATATTATTTCCAAGGTATGAAATAAGGAAGATATCTTTAAAAATTGTAATTCTAGACCCTCCTAAAATTCACCTGTATGAACTTAGAGCAAATCTCCTGAGCTACCACCTCTCTTGACTCTCCTTCTCCATTTATCAAGTGCAAAGTGTGTGGACTACACAGAAAAATAGCAATGAAGATAAAAAGCGACAGGTTTAATTGCTTTATAGCCCACGGATGTGATGTTTCTGGGAGACACAGGTGAGGTGTTGGCAGTGGTTTTCTCTCTTCAGCACCGGTACCGCAGGCTGGTGCAGCCGGCACAGTTCCTGGGGCAGCGATGTGCAGGGCACCTCTGGGACGAGCAAGCTTGCCATGCTGGGGTGACCTGTGCTGGAGCCACTGGCTGCGGGAAGGACTTTCAGTGTGAAGAAACGGGTGAGTGAACTGGGCACAACCTCCTGCCAAAGAGGTTTCAGTCCTGGCTGGACATACCTGGGATGATTTCAGTCCCCTGCCATGAGCATAGCCGAAATGCACTCAGCCCAGCCATCAGGATGGTGAGTCGGTGCAAGAAAAAGCAGGAAGTTTCTCCATCTTTGGTTTTTCCCCCCACTTTTACAGAAATCCGTTCATGTTACACTCAGATTTGGATAGTAAAGAAGGCTGTGTGACATGGAAAAGGTTAATTTTTCAGTAGAGCAGAGTAGAAATATTCTGCTCCAACTGCTGTGCTACACGCTCAGATGCTATGGGCACCAACGCTCCCACAATGCAAAAGACACAGTTCAATCATGACTCCAACAAGCAATCTGTTGGGGTGATTTATTTATTTTTAGCCATCCCCAGCTCTGACAATTGGGCTATAACGTGGCTGGTCTCTGAAAGTCTGGCTAGCCTTGACAGACTTTTGTTTTTACACAAATGGCTCAAACTCCCATCTTGAGCATTTGGTGAAAATCCTGTTAAAATTTACAACTGTGACCAGCTCATCAGGTGGAGCAGGTCACCATTGCTCTGTAGAGGCAAATGCACTGATTCCTGGCATGAATATAATCTCAAGGCTTTCTCCTCACTCTCAGAAGCAGAAACACTTTTCAAGTTGCCCTTCTTGCAAGCATCCATTCTTGAGCCATAATTGCAATAAACTCCCCAAACACCTCCTGCAAGGGAAGAGGAAAAACTGCACTTTGACCAGACAGAGCTGACTTCCCTAAGCCAAGCAGCTTCCCTTCCAAAAGCGTGATGGCAGATAATAAAATAAGTTAATAAAATCAGGCCAGTGAGGTGACCTCTACTTGATGCCATCCCATGGGAGCCCAAGGAGGCAGCTGGCTTGGACTCCAAGCTAAGTTCACCCCAGGTTGCAAAACAAAATATCCCTTCCAAGGAGCTGGGAAAAGCAAGATCCCAATGGAAGAGACTTCTTGTGTCCCTGAGATATGGGTGGAAAACAACACAACCAGTGCAAGGTGTCAAGAAGGTTTTCTGAAGGGCTGTACCTGTGCACTTTAGGTCGCTGTATTAAACGACATCTTGTGTGCAATGGCGAGCCAGACTGCAGAGATGGGTCTGATGAGGATAACTGTGAGGACAAAGATATTGAAAGCCCTTGTGAACATCTGTTCCCAATCCCGGGGTCTGAAAAAGCAGCCCAAGGGTGAGTAATTAATCAATAGCTGCTACTCTCACAATCAAACCAGGATTATGGCTTTTTATATTGCTCTTCTTTAGTAATAGCAGTGCTCCATGAATTGATGAGGTGCTGTACAAAACCCAAATCAGAGCTACTGTCCCACTCAACCATGGGAAGCCATGAGGGAGGCAGGAGGTCATCCCAGCTTTTATTTCAAATCTTGACCCAAATTTACTATCTGACCTTGGTCTCTGTCAGGCACTCTGTACTTGTGAGTCCCCTTTGTATACTCACGTAAAAACAAGTCCAGTTATCTTACAACTTTCTCCAGTTGATAAAAGCAATATATTAAATGGAGATGCAGCACCCTGGTGACTTTCATCCTTAAGGACAAGATTTAACTCCAGGATTTAGGACTTCACAGCACAGATTCAAGGCACGGAGCCTGAGCTCCACACGAATACATGCAAGTTAAATACGCCTGCCATTATAAAGTTTCACTATGTTTAGCTCCAAATTTTGGTTAGGTAATAGATGGAAAAGAGGAATCCAGAATAAGCGTAAAGGCAAATTGTCTGTTGTGATATTTTTGTTTTAAATCTTATGTTTTAACCAAGATAGTGCTTAGTTTCACTTGGAGACCATGGGCTACACTGTAAGGATGTAGTCACCCATCAGACAACTTTCCCATCAGCTCGACCCAATGCTCTCTGGAGTCCATGAGATAAATGTCTCTCTGGCCCAGGACCAGGAGAGTCCACCAAAAACTTTTCAAGACATATATTAATTTTCACCAAGCACCCCATTTAATACAGCTCTGTGATATGTTTCTCCCACAGAGCACACAAAAGCAAGAGCATTTTACCATCATAAAGTCATAAAGACAATTTCCTGTTGTGAGGAGCAATGCTGCTGCCTAGTTTGAATCGTACTTTCATCTGGGGCCATGAGATGACAGGAATTATTAAGGACCAGGCAGGATTTTGGAGGGCAGCAGCTGTGATGGCTGGAGAGGAGGAAGAAAGCGTTGTAAGGAAATAATAAGTGAGAGACTTGGCAAAGCACAAGCTGACTGCACATCTAGGGAGGGTGCTAATTCCCCTGAGAAACGGGACCATTATTAAAAGGAAGGTGATGAAATTAAGATAGAAAACAATTACAGGGAAACGCTTTGTGACAGTGAGATGCATTAGGCTGCAAGAGACTCACAGAGAACCTGGAGGAATTCCAGGGCTTCGGGACTTTCATAACTGTCACTCATTGAGAGGGCCTGGACAATTTAACTGATTTCCTCCATTTCTAGTGTATGAGTTTAAAAGAGTGTCTTAGAAATAAAATGGTTGGTTGTCTCCTGTTAGCTTTGGGAAGGAGAGAGAGAGGAGAACAGACTCAAATCTTTTATTTTAGGTGCTGTCCAAATTCAGAGTCAGAGACAGATAACGTATAAAGTCAGGAGAACAGAAACAGTGATGGAGACTGTCGGGGAAATAAAACAGGAGCTATGGATAATTTCTGAATTATATTTCTGTCCAAGATACAATATCCTAACACAGGAAGAGAGCCAGTATGTGTACGATCCTAATTTTTCTGGAGGCAGCTGTGAATACGTCTACAACGGCGAGTGGCGGGAGCTGAAGTACGACGCTGCATGTGAGCACCTGTACTACGGAGATGACGAGAAGTATTTCCGCAAACCTTACAACTTTCACATATACCAGTTCCTAGTAAGTACGTTGGGTGGTCAAACTTAGCAATGTTTTTCCCAGCTAAAAGCCTAACTTCCTATGAAGATATTATGTCCATTTTATCATTCACTATAGGTTGTCTTTCAAGGTACTCTAGCTGTCCCTAAGACAACAGGCAATTGATGACATAAATGCTGTTTTACAGCACATCAAGGAACTAACATGCTTTATCACCCAGGCATCCCGACTGCTTACTCTGACCTAGTCAGAGCCAAGAGAAATGAGTTTTCTCTAAATCTTGCTATTAATGAGCAGTAGAGCTTGCACAGGCCACTTGCCTCTCTAGGGATGAAGTTGGCCATGTGTAAAACGGGAGGAGTGCTACCAGTTCAATCTTTGAAAGCATTTTAACTCTATAGCATGGCTACACGGGACATAAATCCAAGTTCTGCGTGAGACAGAGATCCTGAAAACCATCACCATGTATCACAACGCCTGTACTCTGGAGGGTCACATGTGATGTTGGAGACTGAACTAAATAGAGCAGGGATTCAACCTGGGTCTCCCATGTCGTAAGTAGGTGCCTTGGCCACATTCTCAAACATTTATCATGCTTTTTGACATGAATAAATGAAAACACATTATTGCAGGAGAATATTACAGCCACAGGTTTAATGCAAGTGGCTTTTATGCCCTCTCAGCAATCAGAATCCCCTGTGCTCATTAGTCCCCGGTTTGAACCCAGACAGACTCACCACATGGGCCACATTTTCTTCTCCCCTCGGAGGACATCTGCACCATGATCAGGCACTGAGGGACGCTTGAACATGTCCCATATGCATCTTGACTTAGGAGCTTCTACCTACCGGGGTCTAGGCAGTCACTGACAGTGATGTGAGAGATTTTTCTTTTCAACGCTGGTAATTTAGCTGGCTTTTTCTAAAGATGGCAAATGGCACAGCCCAAATCCAGCAAGGCTGCTCATTTCCACATGCCAGCAAAGTAGAGCTGTCAAGGAAAAGGTCACTTTTCTGAAACACAGGCAAAACAATGTTTATTTTCTAGTGTTGCCATTGCTAGTGGCTGGATCAGTGCTGCTGATTTTTTTCCTAAATAAATTCATCCAGAAGCAGGCTGGAGAAACAACAACAACAAAAAAATCACTCCAAGTGGTTGGGATTTGGCAGAGCTGTAAGGAACTGGAAGGAGGGGTTGATGATGAGAAGTGTCAAGGTAGCTTAACAGGCACCATTACCAGCTCTGCTCGTAATGGTACTGCTTTTAGTACTAAACACAAACCTTTCCCCTGCCTGGAGATGCATGGAGCCAAATGCACAGCTTAATCTGCATTTCTCACATATTTCCAAATGAAATGGCATGTGACTAAAGTCTTTATTCCACATTCATTGAAGTCAGTGTCGGTGCTGTCGGGAGCATCACGGGCTTCCGTGGAGATACAATCAGCTCCTTAAAGAAAGAGAGATTACAAAGGAAAGGAAGTACCTGAAAAATTAACATCTGCTCTTTTCACTTTAGGCTCATGCTGATTCTGGGTTCACTTTTGAGTTTTATGATGATTCAAAGGATCTGCTTGATGCCCTTAAAAGTGATAAATCCAAAACACAAAGCTTTACCATTGGAATTGGGCCTAAAGAACCAGCTTTCCAGTTAAACTTGGGCTTCACTTTATCACGTGGCAAAGGATCCCTGAAGAACTTCACGCAATACACTGCAAAGGTAAAAAGAGAAATAAAATCAATTATGCATATGCTCCAGTTGTGTCATCTGTGCATCGTATGGTCTGGCTGCAACGTACGTCAGTTTGTTCTCTCAATCGCATTTTTTAACACATAGTAATTGTACCTTAATTTGTTCGTGTAATTGCAAATGTATGATCGTTAGTAATCCTGTTTGTTGTTCTTATTACATTTTAGCAAACAGGGAGTGGGAATAAAATTGAATTACGAAGTACCACAATGCGTCATCTCACTCCATCCTGTTTCACGGCTACATTAAGCAAATAAATAACAAAATGCTTAAAGTGATGATGAGGGAGGAGGAAATCTCAAGATGTTGATCAAAACAGTAGTCCTCAAGGAATGACCTCTGGTAGCAAATACATCTTGTTTGAATTAATACAACCTGCCTTATGATGGGCAAATATGCTACTTTTTACAGGAGGTTAAAATACCACACTGAAAACAAAAGAATACCAGGTAATAGGATGTATTTCTTCCAGTGGGTTTACATCATGGGCTACCTGTGATGATCTCTTTCCAATCTAATGACACAAATGCTGATATTTCCCTCATTTACCCTGCCCCAACTCCACTTTTCTCATGGCTGCTGACAGAAAACAATAAAGAATTACTTTGATGGTGTTCTGAGTCGAAATGTCCTTAAAAACTGTTGGAAATGGGCACCATTATAGTATTTACTGTGCCCTTGTCTAGACTTGCACAATGTTTGCAGCTAAACGATGATCAGTTATTGAGGAATCATTTAAAGGGCTGTCCTAGTTGCACTGCAGCCTTCCTTGTCCAGGGCAATGGCCAACCTAGAAGAGGAGTCATGGATCTTGCCCTCATCAGCACCTTCCTGGCCACAGTATCCCCCCACAGCCAGGCTGAGCTGGGCTTGCCATGAGCCCTCATCCTGCATCACTAGTCAAGGCCGTGAAAAAAGCAAAAGGGAATAAACAGTGTGGAAAGGAAACTAGAAAAAAGAAACAGCAGAAATGGAGGATGGAGGGGAATCGTGTGGAGACCAATTCTGATCGTATTCACACATCAATAACAAAAAACCCAACCCACAGCATACAAACCCATGGCTTTGTCCGTCATCTCATAGAGCACACAAGAAAGACACACCGTAAAAAAGAATTACCACTGATTTCATTTAAACCTGGCCTCGTTCTCATGCCTTCAACATACACTGAGAGTCAGACATTTAGGCTTTCCTCTGCAAACCTAAAGACTAGAAATGACCTTTTAAAAAAAAATTACTATTGAGTGGCAACTCCTCTTTTCTTTACTTGCAGGACATTGGATTCATTAGAGGTGCAACGAAGGTAAAAATTACTATTGAGTGGCAACTCCTCTTTACTTGCAGGACGTTGGATTCATTAGAGGTGCGACGAAGGTGCAGACGGCCCGTTTCAAGATGAGAAGGGACAACATTGTTTTGGATGAAGATGTGCTGCTCTCCCTGCGGGAGCTTCCAGACACCTACAACTATGGCATGTATGCCAAATTCATCAATGATTACGGCACCCACTTCATGACATCTGGCACCATGGGAGGCGTTTTTGAGTACATCCTTGTCATTAACAAGGAGGAAATGAGAAGAAAAGGTTAGAAAACAAGAAGATATTTTCTGTTCACAACTTTCTGCTCTAGATCAGGCATTTCCAACCTGAAATTCATGACCATGGGGTACGACCAAGTCCACCGGGGTAATTCATCTGGCTCTAGCTGCTCCCCACAGCCATCATCTCCCTGGGTGCTTGTAGGGTGGGTGCTCATGGGCACCTCTTTGCTGAGCTGGCTGGCCCGTCCCAGCACGTGAGAGACACATACATGTCACAAGCCCAAACTAACACAGTGGGAGGTGGGCTAGGGGTGTCTGTACGTTGCTCACAAGATGGATGTACTATTGGCCATATAGCAGGGGATAAGATTGAGTGTCACAAAATGTGCTTCCCGATCTACTTTCAGAAGAATCTGTGTGAGATTTTGGTTGTTCAGGAAGGAACTTGAGCATCTTTTTCTCCCTTTCTTTCAGTGTCATGCGCTAGATTTCTCTAAACATCTCCTATTTCTGGCAGTCTTTGTCCTGGCCATTCTTATGACTGCTCAAGGACTGCACATTCATCCGAAGTGAAGAATGATGAGGTTTTAGCCTCTGAGTAGTGAGGGTTTCAATTTTATGTAAATGGAAATAATGCACTGCATTTGGCAATACCTCCACGGCTTTACTCAGGTTACCATGAAGACTAACAGACCTCTACTAGCTTCGGTTCCCAACAAAATTGAGTGTATGAGGTTGGAGAGCCATACTTCTAAATCCCAGTTACCTAAAATATCCACTGCAGATGTCTAGAGCACACAAATAACCATTACTGGCAAGCCAAAGAAAAACATTTTTCCTAATCAAAAACATAAGATGCAGAACAATAACGTGGTACTTTAGCATGTTAACCAGATTGTCAACTTTTGCAAAGGTGTTGACAATGCAATACATCCCACCCTCCCTAAGGACCATCACTCCGCTCTGCTGAGGGTAATGCTGCCTTGGGAACTCCAGGCTGGCCCCTTACACAAAAGAAAATTGTGATCTCGGACAACAGATGTAAATTGCTGCAGTTGGTGCAAATTGCTGTAATTCCATTAATTGCATTAATTTCTATGGTTCTGCCCCAAATTCTGCCTCTGGGCTGAAATGATTTTGTACCATCAGCACTAGGATAACTGTGCATTCCATATTGAGTGTTAACCATGCAAATTTTTCCACAAGAAATTACCAATTGAGAGAATTTTCATCAAGTCCTGAACTAGTAATGTTTGGAAACACAATGCCTCTTCAAATCATTTATTCACTTTGAAGAGTGAGAGACATAGAAGTGAACAAGATCTTGGCAAGCAAGTCTTCAGGAAGCAGACTGCCAATTTCAGAGGAAGAATGAGTCAAGAGCATGTGGAGGGAGACTATCATTTTGCTTTATCTTGTGCTTGCTGTGTATGTAAGGAAGAGATTTACTGCTACGAGATGCCTTATCTTAGGAAAGAAGGATGTTGCAGTTCAACAAAAGACAAAAATGTGCCCCAGCAGAGATGGAGTTTTCAGTCTAATGTGGCATGCTTCTGTAATTTTCATCTAACTCAGGCTCTGCTAGAAAGTCCTCATTCACCAAGTCAGCAATGCTCTGCGTCACACAGCACAGACCCAGAAGGACCCACCTGCAGTGGCTGATATGCCACCATATAAAAGCATTAAGTAAAAACCTCAGATTTTTCTAATGGTGATCACAGCCACGCTTGAAGGCTGTGTTTGCAAGAGGATTATCCACCTTCCCTGAGGAATGGTCAGGATCACGATATAAGCACTGAAGTCTTAAAATTAGAGCTTCATAAGATGAGTTTGAAGCTCTGCAGATGCCTGCAGATGTACTGCTGAGTCTCCGCAGGGCTGAGCAGTATGGCACCTGCTTTAGATCAACCACTGCATCCTGAGAGCCCCCCCAGCCCATCAGGCTATGTGTTAAATGCTCTGGAAGAGAAAACACTCCTTTTTTTTAATAGACCTAAATGTCCAGAAAGAAAGGATCACTAGGCTGAGGCCTCCCTAAATGAGAGACGGCTTGGGTGGTCACTGCTCATCCAGCTAGGCATAGGCATAAGCTGGACTTCAAAAACCTAGAAAATCTGGATTTTGAAAATGCACTCACTTTCTGGGTTTAGATACTCAGGAATAGACCACAGCTCAGCAGTGCAGAGCTTATGACTGCAATTTTGCTGCCAGACCCATTTCAAGCTTTCAGGCAGCAAGGGCTTCTATGGATGTGGTCATGAGTGAAATAAATACATATGTTAGAACGAGGTCCCTCGTTGCTCTGCCATCAATATTTTTCATTACTTGTTTTTAAAATAGATTGTTATGGTTCTATTATTTAGCAGAAAACAGTATAATGTGTTCACACATTACAAGAACATTTATGGGAGAAACATTATGCGCAGAGTAAATTAGAAAGAGTCTTCATATATTCTGATGAATTTAAAATGCAGCAGTAAATCTTATCACTCGAGCACATTTAACTATCGCAAATTATATCAGATAAAAAAAACTATCAGGGCTCCCCTCCTCAAGTGCCAATATTTTCTGTGGCCACCCTTTTGCAATGATAACCACTTTTCATTTATCAAGACCCGATCTCGCTGCAACCAATAGCGAATTGTATTGACAGACCCTTGCTGAACGTAATTACTCAATGGGAACCATGGCGAATCAATTAATCAGGGTGTTCCTCAAGTTTAATTTTATGGCACTCCAACACCAAGATAAGCAATCACTCATGTTGCTTTGGGTGAATGAACTTTACCCACTGTGTTTACAACTGTTGAGCAGTTTAGTGCAAGTAATTGAGTGCTACACATTTAATCTTTCTCAAGGGCCCCATTTTGGAGTGGGATGTGATTCCCCCTGAAGTCCTGAGCATGCTCCAGCTCTCACCAGTTTGAATCCAGGCCGTGTGGCCCCTTCTTTGGGATGCTGAGCACCTCCGCCTGCTGGGACTCACCAAGCCAAGATCCATGTCCCGTGTGGTTCCAACCAGCCTCTCCCACAGGATGTGCAGAAAGGAGCAAAACCAGAGCATTTTACCAGTATTTTAAACACGAGTAAGATGAAGCGATGCTTCCTGATGCTGGGGCAAGGCAGTTCACAAACGATGCTCTGGGCTGGGGCTGGGCTGGAGGTTCAATCTTCAGCCCGTTAAGCTCTGCTGCACAAATCCCGCCGACCTCTGTGCCTCCCTTTCAATACCATGGTATCGATCGCCGGGCTGCTTTGTAAAACACTTTAAGGCCCTCTGACAAAAAGAGCAATATAAAAGTTACCTATGACTTACAATACCTGTATTTATTGGAATCAATGGATTTTTTAACTACTACAGAAGACGGCCTTATATTTGCAGTACACTGAAGTGTGTACATAAAGCCAGACCATATGAAATATGCGCATTGCTTACCTTGGTGAAACCACCTCATTAGTTCACTTCTCCCCTTTGCAGTCTCTTCATGGCTCTCCAGTTACATATTTCCGTGATGTATGTGGCGGTGCTGGCAGCAGCAGCCCAGCAGCAGGCAGGCAGGCTTTGGCAGCTCTCAGCACACAGACCTTGTGCGAGTCGCTTCTTAAGGATGCTACTTAACCTGTTAATACATGGGTCAGAGCCTGAGTTTAGGAAAATTAGCGAGGATCTATTGATTTCAGCTGCTGCTCCTAGCTTTGTCCTGTATGAGTAAGTTTGTTAAAAGAAAAAAAAAATCTTTTAAAATAAATAGACAAAATGAGGCAACACATGCTTGAAACCTTGTGTTAAGATCTTTACTTTCTTCTAATACTTTGTAAGGGAACAGTTTTACACTAAGGACATTTCCCCTTTCACCTATTATGTGATAAATCCAATGTACCCCAATTAAATGTTGGCTTTGCCGCTGCAAGACTAAAGGCTGAACAGCTTTTGACTCTGAAAAACGGGCCATGCAAATAATCGAATATCGTCTTCATTGATAGAAAATAAAAGTAGGAAAATGAACATCCTTCCACTCAGCATCAGTCACTGATTTTACTGGTTTCCCTTCTGTTTTACAGACATCAGCGCTGAGGAGATAAGTGCCTGTGTTGGCCAGTCACTCGGCCTTACAGTCAGCGAGAGTAAACTGCATTTGAAAGCATCGGTGTCATCCTCCAACTGTGAAAAGAGAGGATTTCTGAGAACTGGTACGATAGCAGGGCAGATTACTCTTACAATATCTTGCATTACTTCTTTTGGTCACTTGGGCATGGAGATGCAAGTAGGGACCCACAAGGGTACAAAGAAGGGAGCTCAGGGGCCATCCCCAGCCATGGCTCAGGCCCAATCATGGCACCAAAGTGACTTAGGGTCCAACTCTCCAGGAGTACCAATTGCTCTTGGAATAGCAGGAATTAAAAGAGTTAGAGTTAGTTAACCTGAATTAGAAACGTGCATAAACAGAGGTAGTGAGTGTTATGGCTATAGGCCTTACAGTCATAACACACTGGGCATAGATGACAAGGATCAACATGGCAGCTATTAAAGAAGTCAAAAACAAGTACAAAAAACGCACAAAGAGGCTGGGAAGCTCCAGATTTGTAAACCACTTTTAACCAGCTATAGACAGCATGATCTGCTGCCCAGATGCTCTCTATAAACAAAGGCTGGAGACATGCAGGCTCTTCAGGTCCTACCAGCTCTGAGCATTTGTGATGCTCAGCTCATCATGGGCCACCTTGTGATAACACGGCAGGGCTCACCCTGCGAGTAGGGGACGCTGAGCTCCCATTGATTTCCAGAGGCAGCATCACTGCTGCTCGCTGATAGCCCCTTGCGTGATTGACCTCACCTCCATTAAGCGGTTTCTAGTGTCTGTGTGGGAACAGCAACTAAATAATACAGGTGTAATTCAACTTTTCAGATGCTGAGAGCAACAGTGCAGTTGTAGAAGATATTATTCCCCGGATTAGAGGTGGAGATGCCAGTTACAGCGGAGGGCTCTTAAACAGTTGGGATGGCAATATGTATCGTCGCTGGGGAAGGTCATTAAAATATAATCCTGCTGTTATTGATTTTGAGGTAAGGCTTTTCTGCAGTTGAAGAAACTCTGCCGCTATAAGGAATGAAAGTGTAGTCGAGCAAAACATTTCGTATTTTTATTGTGATCCCATCACAGAACAAGATTAAATGTAATGGGCCACTGATCTGGTAACCTCTTATTCATTTCACAATGGGGAGTACATCTCCCACCGACTGCATCCGCAGGGAGGCAGACAAGGAGCTTAATGCTGGATTAGTGCCGAGTTACGTTTTTGATGTGTCCCCAAACAGCTTCCCGATGAATGGCTCTCTGCAGTTGCATTCATCTCTATTATTCTCCCTGACGTCGCCTGCCCTCCTGTGTAAGCAGGGGACTCACAGGGGGCTGGGGAAGGGGTCTCGTCACTCCAGTAAAGGCTCTGAGTAGACCCCTCTCTGCCTTTTACCTGCCTCAGAGCTGCACTGGCCACACCTAACCTCTGCAGACCATGGTGGTATTGCTGTGTGTCCTTCCAGGAGTTTTCAGAGCAGGGGGCTCCTGGCTGCTTTGTCAGGTGGGTCCTGTCTCTCTCCATGCTCCACAAATAGGGGCTTGGCAGCCTGATAACGTACCTGATAACGTAGAAGCACTTTCAGCTCCAGCTGAAGGCATGCTGCAGGTTATTCACCTTTCTGCACGAGTTCCCATCAATTCGGGGCAAAATTTATTGCAGTTTTCCAGTAAACCATGTGCTGACCTCACTGTTGGCTGCTCTGGAGCTCAGCAGTCACTGTGCAACCAGAGCTGCTGATAAGTGCTCATGGCCACTTCAGCAGCTCTTATCTGTAGCTCACTCTCATTTGTTAAACAGCCTTGTGCAAATTTGCCTAAGAGCTCTTCCCAAAACCCAGCTGAGCCTTCCCATGAGTTGTTCTCAGGGCACCTTGTGCAATGAGATGATGCCCAGCTCTTCTCTGGGAGTAGTTTCCACCAATTCCCAGCCAGAACACGCAGCGTTTGCACAGATGTACGGACGGACAAACATAAATACTTGTCCTTGGCCCGGCCTTGAGCTTTTAGATTTAATATTCAGTTGAGTATTAATATTCAGTTGGGCATTGATATTCAGTTGGGCAAGTTATAATTACAGTTGCCCACAATGGGCTATTTTTGCTGAATGGTGTATAAGAACTGGATTTTGGCACTGGAAATACTATTAGCTTGTTATAGTCTTAAAGCTGTGGATGGCTTAATAGTATTTCACTGCACCAAAGGCTAAAATATAGGTAGGTAAAATTCTCTCTGTGTTTACTGGATGGTCACTGTTAGTGGTAGGTTAGCACTGAGTTTTGATTATACGTACTGTCCAAAGCTCTTATCAAAACATTTTTGTTCCAAAAGGCAAAATGTATACAAGGATTCCTGAAATCATGACAGCATTAAGAAATCAGTCAAAAAATGGGCTTACCAGGGTGTTTTAAGTTACCATTTGAATCCAGTCTGAAGCTTCAAAGCATGTCCAGAAAAGGCAGTCCCACACAAACCTCTAAGATGAGGATGCTTTTGGAGTGGTGGTTTCTCACTGGGGCCTATCAGTCATGGGAAGGCATTTGCATGATGTATATGGAGCTGTCAAGGAAGACAAGTGAGTTGTTTTCTGACCGTGGGGTGGTAGCATCTCCATTTATGCCCACCTGAAATTGTCTCCACGCTATCCATCTCCATCCCACATAGCTGCAGCCCATCCACGAAATCCTCCACAGAACCAACCTGGGCAACATGGAAATGAAACGGCAAAACCTGAAACGGGCTTTGGACGATTACCTGTTGGAGTTCAATGCCTGCCGCTGTGGACCGTGCCAGAACAACGGTGAACCCATTTTGGTGGGAGACACGTGTTTCTGCCAGTGTCGGACGGGCTATGGAGGCCCTGCCTGCGAACAGACTGAGCGCCGAGGTAAGACCTTGGTGTGCACTCACAGCAAGGGAGGGTGAAAGGTGGCAAAGGGTCAGAGGCTTCCCCTCCATGTGGTTACCCAACAGCTCTCTGCATCCATGCATCCATCAAGCCTTCGCTTCTGCACTGCTTTTGCTGCTACACTAGCCTAAGCTGCCCTGCCAGAGACTTAAATTAGCAGCTTTGGTGATTATATATACAAAATATTCTATCATATAATAATAT